ATGGATGTGCAAAGAGATGCAGAACTGAATGATTGGATGTCGGAATGTATGTTTCTATCTATATGTGGTCCCTCATGGAATGAGCTGAAGCTTTCCTGTGCTTGTCTTTGTGCTGAGCATCGCGGTGACCTTGGAGGCTGTCCAATGTTAAGCATGCCTCGCATGACCGGCAGATAAAGACGTTCAAGCCCCAATGGAGCCAGAGTCCGTTCAGATCCAGCATTCCGCCTCCAACAAGATAGTCGACTTCTGGATCCAGTCGAACCCGACCTGGAACGATAGGCGGCCCGTTGCCAACCGCCGTTCCTGTTCGTCAGGGGGTGTCAGCTGCGAACACGCCGTTCGGTGACCGATCCACTGACCAGCAGGGTGCTTGAGGTGCTCCAAACCCGAGCCCGAGCCCGAGCCCGATGCTTCACAATTAGCCACGTTCACTATGTTTCATGCAAAGTCCATTTTTACAGACCCCTAACCTAGACGATAGACTCACCAGTACGGGCCCGACTGCCTTCCAGTGCGGCCACGGGGTTGGTGGGAGACCCGGTCACACATTTCACCTTCCCGGCTGTGGGTCAACATGCCTGATGTCAGCCCTCTCGCCTATAGGCCAACATTCGCCCTTACCTTGATCCAACGATGCGAAGCACGGCTCCTCAGGGCTGAGTTCGAGATTTGTTTTTACATGCTTCGTTGCCCGGTCCCTCCTGCTGAACGCCATGCCGCAATCGAGGATGGGGCAAAGCAACTTGCCTTGTTTGATAGTGAAGCAAAGCTTCCTTCCGCCGAATCCGAAGGGCACCGCTTGGATGTGGTAGTTCCAGCGATGGCGAACGAGGTCCCGACCTTCCTTGGCCTGCTTCACCGGCTGAAGGCATCCAGGGAAACTACAGGTGAGATCATGGAGGGTGGTAGACATTTTCAAGTATGGGAAGTATTCTCGAGAGCAGAGGGAGTATGTTATTCGAGAGTGGATGAGCAAAACTGACCGGGTTCGAAAGACCTCGGGTCTTATATGTTCCGCAAGGATGGCCCTTGGAAGCCATTTGGCATGCCCTGTCCAAAGGGTACCGACAGATGATCCGTCCATAAGCCGCCTTGCAACCTGCCGATGTCATGAGCACTGTTCACCCTAGATCATAGCCTCCGACCTCAGGGCGTTGACGCTTGCAGGAAGCGATGCCCAAAGATATCAAATATCGATATATATCTTATGGCATGTAGTAACAAAAGGCCATTCGCCCTTCCTGGCAATGGAGCGAGTCATCTCTATCATCCTCCAACCCGATCCAAGGTGAGACGGCAAAATGTCGACTCTGGCGTAAAGGCTGACCGCCGCCATGCAGCACTTGGGGGTTTGCTGATCGAAACATCCAACCCATATGCCTGATGGCAGATTCCAGGCAGAACTCTCTTTTATATTGACTTTTCTGGGTGTATGGCAATGAGCTGCCTCCCTGATGAATTTACGACATTGGATGATTGGTCTTCCATTTCCTTTCTATATCAGGAAAGGTACTTTCATTCTAGGTCCATCACTGCTTTGCTTCCGCCTATCCGACCGACGCGGATCAAACGGGCGACGATCTACTATACGCTAACACGGTCGCGGCGGCCGGGCGCCCGGACGACGATCGACAAGCGGCGGGTTTATTTGGGAACCTCTTAGCGAAACCCAGCCAGGTGATCAACCCAGACCCTTGAATTTCAAATGAGTTCCCTGCCGGGTTTGGGCGCTCCTCTGCTATAAGCTAACCCCGTCCCCGGTGCCTTGAAAATAACTGCAGAACTCTAGTTCGGGTAGGCCAGTGTTGCTACGTGCCGAGCCTGATGGCGATCTGGAATGGTCGCAAAGGCTAATATTGCTTACAGATGCATGTCTACTATGACCCTCGGAACCGCAAATAAATCAGTCTGTTTTTCTTGGCGATCGAGCTCTTTTTCGAGTCACCTCGCGTGCCATATTTTTTCCCCTTAGGTGAGCAGGTTTCTTGTGATCCAAAGAATGTCTATCTCGATCAGTCGACACGCTCGTGCTGCGAACGTGATTCACCCACTCATCTATGGCCACGCCCCTGTGTTTAAAGCAAGCCTGACATGTCATTCGGAAGAATGACATCTCATCTATGGCAAATCCCAATTCCGCTTCCTCGTGATTATCAAAGTGGCCATACCACAGCCACTACCCCCAGAACATTTCCACTTTTGGGTTGATATGTGCACTCATTCGTTGTTTATATACCATCTACAACACCACTGACCGCTCGAATGAGCCCCTGAAGCGTTGTATATGGGCTTGACTGACCTATGATGAAAAAAAAAACACAAAAGCAATTTGCACTTCGGGATTGATGTCAAGGTGGCAGGGCCATTGGGGACTGCTTTCGAGACGGTGACGTCATACGGGTGAGGCTAAAAATGCATGTGCAGGGTAACAAACGGGCGGGTGCGGCGGGCGTGGCCAAAGACCCTCAGGCGGGGTGGAAAGCGGGTGGGCAGCGCTGGGTCGGTCAAATGAAATGGACTGGCTGCGTCCCCCATTGGCAGGATGACTGAAAACACGCAGGCAGGGTGAAAGCGGGTGGACTAAACAGGGATGGGATTAAAGACACACCGGCTGGCTCAACTGCGGGCGGGCAAGCCAGGTGGGGTCCGAAGCAGGCGGGGGTGCAGCCCAAAACCCTAAGCAGGGCTGGCAAGAAAATTACGGATGAGAATGAAAACAGAGTGGTTGCCCGATGCATTAATTTGCAGCGTGCGGGTGTGTGGGTGTAGATGACCTGGGGGCGATCACTGAGTATGGTCATCGGCGGCCGCTGCGGAATCGCCTGTTTCTGACGGTGGCCGCAGCTGGACACGGGGGCTAGTGCCAGTCGATGGGTGACGGTCGCCAACCTTGGCCGTCAGCCAGTTGGTCGCAATGGCCGTCAAGTTGGCAACAGCCGCCAGCCTAGCGTGGTCGCTGTTGATGGCCATCACTGACAGTTGTCATCGGCCGCTGCTGACTGCGGCCATTGCCGAGTGAGCGATCGCTCCGCTGATGGCCCTAGTCAGCGACGGCCGTCGCTGACCTGTTGACCGTTTCCGTTGACGGCCGTCGCCGACCAGAGCCATCGGCCGCCGCTGACTTTGGGCATGCAGGCCTCAGCGGGGTATTGCATCATTCGGGGTCCGTATGTCTTTGGAGCTGCAACATGCTCGAACATCTATGCTCGAGCGGCTACCCGATGAGCTAATTTGCAGCGCCTGGGTGAGCGGGTGGTGTCGACGGTGCACAGTGCGTGTGTGGTGCCTTTGACCTCGCTCCCTTTGTACTTTTCGCTGCGTGTTCTGACTTGCGACACGTCTCGTCACATTGTTCCGTGACTCCAGCTCTCCTGGACTCATCTTTGGCCTTCTTCGCCACACATTTTGGCTCGCGATGCCCCATGTCGCACTGGACCGGTGACCTTGCACCGGCGCAGTATACATTGTTTTTGTCATAGCTACACGATCATATGTAGTTTCAACCTCCCCGTGCTGTGAACAGTAGTACTAATAATCAGGAAATGAAACGAATCCGCTGAGCACCGTATGAGTACAACACCTAGGTGCGAGCTGCTGTGCACCGACGACGATGCAGGCGTCCGGAAGAGGAGAATCCCTGCACCGCCACGGTCCCTGTCCCCGCACTGCCACTTCCAGAAGAGGAGAATCCCTGCACCGCCACGGTCCCCGTCCCCGCATCGCCACGTCCGGAAAAGGCGACTCGAGTGGCGTGGGAGCGGCGGGGACGGGGACCGTTTCCACAGTGGAAACGGGGAGACATATGGGTAGGCCTGAAGAGTAGATATACGAAACAGGTGGTTGGCAGTAATTTCCCCAACCTGTCGCCTGTAAAAACTCGCTAACAGTTCTTCACCAAACGATTCCAACATGGCAACCTCACTTTGCTCGGTTGCTCTCCCCTCCCACGGAAAACCCTGGTGACCGCAACCTCGAACCTGATGGCGACCTGGCTTTCGAACCAGAGGAATCTCAGTCGAGTTTGGAGGAATCTTCAGATGGTAGTGGTGGGGGACCCGGCGTGCCCAGTTCCCAACTCTCTCGAAGATGGCAAGAGACATTCTAACTGTCCCTGGTCAGTTCGACCTGCAAATTATTGTATCTCGAGTCTTCAGGCTGATGCCAGAACATGCAGGTTGCTCTGTTGCCGTGGAAAGGATCTTTTCTGGTGGACGAGACATCATATCACTTCGATGTTCGAGTCTGAAGGCAAGACTCATTCGGGTCTTGATGTTGCTGAAGGAGCGCCTACGCCTCACGCGCTCAGCCATCGACCGCATGGAGCTTTGACTAGAGTTTAAATTTCTGATCATCTACATAGATCCCTACTATCTGCCATCCTATCAGTCCTGATGTTGATATTCAAGATGTACTATTTGACCGCTCGTGCGGCCGTTTAGACCTACGTGCATCCCCGCACTGTTTGTAACCGGTATACATTTTTTCCCACATACGGTACGGATGTATACGACCTGAACCCATACCGTACAAGTCCGTTCCCGTTTACGGACGGGACGAAGCCCTGGCTGAAAGGTTTGTTCTGGGCCATGGACGGCCGAACTGCTGTAAACCTGGAGAGCAGGCGGCACCAGATCGATTAGCCTCGTCGAAACGAAAATTTGAACGTGAAGAATTGCCAGCAAAGCGGACTAGACGGGGATTGAACCCATGGCATCCAGCGTAGTACAGCGGCACTCTTCCAACAGGGCTACTGGTCCGTCCAGACAAGATCCAAGCTCAGACATCAACGGGCATTGGACAGCAAGGTCGTGCTTGCTGACAAAAATACAGGGAACTCCGGAACCGGAACACCAACTCCGCTTTCCCGGAATGTCCCAGTTTATACCTCCACTCCACCACCAGGCGGATCCACTCGGACTTTCAGTACCCGCTCGGAATCCATGGGGAATTCATGCGGACTCTCATCATTCTCTACTTGTCATCATTTCTGAGCCTTCAGGGGTGTTCCATCACTCTTCCACATCGCTTAATCCCATTTCCCCCTTGTTCCTGTTCCTGTTCCCTTCATTATCATTAGCGAGTGCTTCTCCGCCCACTCCGCTACATATATATACCTAGTTTTCACTTTGGATTCCTCAGTCGTTCTTTGCCCCTCTTTGGCAGCGGCTGAGGTGAGTTTACTCTATACCTATTTACTACTCCTAGCTAATCCCTAGTAGTCTGGGCAATCACTGCCCTATTATAGGTGAATAAAGTCGTTCTTT